TCATTCTCAAAATTTTGGATGGAATAACTTTTAAATTCTTAAACATGCAAAGCTACCAAATTATTTTAGGACATAGCTCCAGAATTTACAATTGACATACCAAATTTTGCAACTGCCTTACAAATAATTTGCAACCTCTGTTCGAAATTTTAAGACAACACACTTTTAGTGATTACAAAAGATATGAACTGTACTTATAAGTTGCATGTATTAATTCATCTAATGCATCTGCACATATCAGTTGTCCACATACACAAAAGCATGAACTTGAATTTATAAAAGAGGGGTTGCTATGTATCAAAAAAAACCCCCCAATACTACCAATATATATGTATAAAAACCTATCTATGTTAACCAAATCTAACTTGATCTAAAACTACCCATATATGTATATCACCCAATCCAAGTTCATGTGGTAACCCATTTACAATAACATCAACTTGAATTTAGATTTCTACACCTCTTCCGTGTACGGTCTGCTTCATGACAATGAGAACAATGATAAATCTTCTTCTGTTGATATTGAGACTCAATCCTCACATGATGAGGTTTGCCAGCTGATCGAGATGTTTTAGGAGGTAGCAAAAAGCTTTGGCTTATGAGCTTAGATACTGTCAATGCATTTGGCTTTGACATCTCATGGGTCTCAACATGATGCATAGTGCCATTGTATATTTTCTCCTATGAACAACGAAGATAACATGCATAGTGCAACACTATACTTGTAGATTGCTTGTCTACAATCATCAGCACTCGCAAAAATATGCTCAGGTCCTAATAGTAAATCTTTTCACTTTGTTGCATTTAGTTCAGGCATTGGTGTTGGGATACTTTGTATTGCACATGGTAAAACTTCAAGATCTTGTGTAGCATGTGAATTCTCAACTGAACATCCTGCTCTGCATTTTCATTCAAATCATGTTTATTACTACCATCCATATTCATATTAACATAATATTAATTATGCAACTATTAAAAAAACTTACCCATCAATTGAATCTCTTGTTGCCTCTGTACTTTACTATATCTTCCCAATGATGTACACATGAGCAAAATTATCATTCAATTTCATTAATTGATTTATCCCTTCATCATCTTTAAGGTCTAAAAGAGCATTGCAATTAAACTTTACTATGTACTTCAACTCTATTCCATTTAAATCACAATTCAAGCATGGTGAAATCAATCTAACAAGTCCTTCAAGAGACATTCCTTCTCTAATCATTCTTTTATTACAACTCCCCTCATCATAATGCATTGTCTTATGCATATCTTTTACAATATCTCCATTAAAATAAAAATAACAAAAAATTTTCTTTAAACAACTACTTTCCATTATATCCAATAGTATCAACCTACAAGAAACAAAATAAAATGTAATAATATATCACTTAGAAACAAGTTACTTTTGACATAAGTGATTTTCGCATCAGTTAAACAGTGACAGCGTTCCATCTTAAAATATGGACACTCGATAGTAATTTCTTACACTTTCAGTTGCAAAATGTTGAATCTTCATGTCAAATATTTAGAAACGTGAAATAAAAAAAAATCTTTCATGTTCAGTTGCAGAAAACCGTTTCATCTTTTTCCTTACGAAAGTCATTTTGCAAGAAATCAAATCTTCAAGGAGTAAACCTTTTTGTTCAGATGCAAGGATTTGCAAAAAAAAAAAAAAAACCTGCCTGCACGCACCAGCACAACTCCTTAAGCTTCCTTGAGCTAAGAATTAAGGCAACTCACCTCTTCCAAGCATAACTTTATTTCAGGAATGGGTATTCTTTAATGTACAGCTCCATCACTTACATGCAGCTCTCATCAATGGCGGGAAAGAGATAAATTGGGAGGGAAATGTTAGAGCTGATGAGTGTACATGTTATATTTACTCATAGGGGCATTTTTGTCATTTCTTTTGTAATTCTGATTGGGAAAAACAACATGGGACTTGATTGGCTTTTTAGAATTAGTTGGGACTTAACTGGTATAAAATTGATCATTTGGGACTTAACTGGTATAAAATTGATCATTTGGGACTTGATTGTCATTTTCCCTATTAAAAACCTTGTTCTCTCTTATCCCAATATGAAGCATTTTTAAGGATTTTGTTTTTCAAAATATAAATTATTAAATAATTTTTATAATTATTTTAAATTATATTCTCATTTTACTTTTTTTTTTTGAAAAAATTATATATTTAAATTTTAATTATCATTGTCAAAATATTTATATAGGATATTTGATGAGAATAAAATTAGAGAGATGTAAATTCTTTTAAAAAGAAATTAAGATTTTAAGATTAACTAACATTTTTTGAGAACAATAAATTGATTACCTATAACCTTATATTTTAGTTTGAAGAGAGTACTACTAAGCTTTTAGAATGAAAAAATGGCACATAAAGTACAATACATTTTGAATTGTTTTCGCTAGTCTAAAGACCCAAACGAAAGTATGTTTCTTCATGAGAAAATGTTAAAATGTATAAGTTTTTTAAGTGTATATATAATACATTATCCTTAACAAACATGATAAAGTCTATACGTGAACAACATATAATATTCTTTTATTATACACAGTATGTGTAATCAAGTTGAATAATAATGTACACATTTTTTATGTATATATATAATATAATGTCTATTAAAAGCATGACAAAGTCCATACCTAAACAACACAATGCCTATGATTAAGAGTAAATGCATCTTTTCATAAAAAAATATACTTTTTTTAAATTATAATATAAGTTATAGTTCACTAATTTAAAATTTACGAACAATGTTAATTAAAATTTAATATTTTTTAAAATGTTCACATCTTTTTATTTATATTTTTATTAAATATCCTATATAAGAGATTTAATAATAGTAATAAAAACCTCAATGCATAATTTTTTTAAAAATAATAATAAATGAAGCAGAAATTTAGTTAAAACAATAAATATAAAAATATTTAATATTCTATACTTTAAATTAGGTAAATTTTTTAAGAAACATCTTATATTGTGGCTTGGAAAGAATATTTGTATTTGGGATCTTTGATCTTATAAAAATTAATTTATTTTTTATATGTGTAACACTATAAAAATATTTGTATTAAAATTTTCTAAATAAATATTTAGTACGTATAAACATTGATGGTGATGAAAGAAAGCCCTAATGACATCATGTTTCAGGTTCGTTATTTCAGGGGGAAAAAAGTTGCATGCATTGGAATATGCAAATGCTCAGCGACAAACTAGGTCCTCCCCCTTCTCATGAAAAGACAGAACATGTACATGTACAGTGCCATTTTAAAAAAATTAAGGTAATAATACTAATTATATTAAAAAAAATAAGGTAAAATTACAGTGAGATTCCAGAGAGAGAGAGAGAGAGGGAATTAATCAGATAGAGTTTATGACCAAAATCACAACTGATGGGCTGCAGATATCAATTTATATCATTACAAACAAGATTTCTAGTTACATTTAAAATTTAAAAATTTAAATATTTGTTGTGTAACTAAAACTTAGAGAAAAAATTAATAATAGTTAGGTTTTATTTTAAAAAATAAATTATAAATATGAATTTAAATAGTTGTAAACACTAATCTCAATTATAAAGTAAGAGTCATTTTTAAAATTTAAATATTTTATTTACAATTATAAATATTAAATTTTTAGTTGTTTAAATCAATATTTATAAATTATTTTTTAAAAAATTCAAAATTTTTATTAATTTTCTCTTTTAAAATTTAACCATCATTCTTCCTTGTATAAATTAATATTTTTAACTTATTTTTATACAAAAATTTATAGATAACATAACTATCACAATTAATTCAATTTTTTTAAGATCTAATTATCGTTCTCTCAAACTTGTTTGTTGTCAAAAAATTAAATATGTCAACAGAAATATATATATATATATATATATTTTTTATAAACACAAGAAGAAAATTTTGTCGGCAGTAGATATTTTCTCTCTCTATTTTTTGTTGGCCGAAAATACTGGATGATAATCAAAGTAAACAAACTAGTGAACTACAAGGGTTCAGGCAAAAAAAAGGAAAAAAAAAAAAAACAGCCAACAGAGACAAAGAACAGCCAACAAAGACAAATGAAAGACCTCCCACAATTAAATTGCTCTTTATGCAGGCAATGATAAACATAGAACCCTAAGCCAATGGGGGTATAAAGCTATAAATTTAAAATAATAAAATTGTTAATAGATATACAATAAATATTTAGTTTTAAAAAATAATATTAGAAAAGAAAAATTAATGCTATTTTTATAAAAATAATCTAAATTTAAATATAATAAATTCAAAATTTAAAAGCCACAGGACCTAAGTGAAATGTTAAAGACCTGATTTTTTTAACTCAAATTATTTGAAGAATGATTGAACACTAAAATGAATACTTCTTCTAATAATGATTTGTCACATTATAAAAAAAATTTTGTTTTTACTAAACCTAACCCTTATTAATAATTTTAATTTGAATCTAATAGGTTCAAAATTATTGAAATAATGGGAATAAATTTTCAAATTTTTCATCTACCTCTTGCAAAATTCTCTACGTGAAGGTAGTTGCCCACCCTCATCTATTATGTGCATCCGCCACTATTAATATTAAGAGTTGAATTTCCAAATTCCAACCATGTGTAACTTTTAGAAAAAATATCAATTAAGTATTGATGGAGGAAAATTATATCAGTTAAATATTATTTATTGTTAAAATTTAAATAAATATGTATCAATGTGAGTTAATATTTTATTAATAAATATTTATTTAAATTTTAATAATAATTTATTTTAAATTAACAATAATTTATTTAATTTATTTTAATTTAAATTTTGATAACAATTAAGTACAGACTAATTTAAATTTTTTCTAGCAGTCCGCTGTTTTCCGTGACTTTTATCTGACAAGAATCTCAGGAGCCTCGACTTCGTTTCTTTAATTATTATTTATTTTCCCTGCTTCTCCCTCATCCTCCAAGTTTTTAACCTCTGCTTTTGACTCTCTTCATGCCTCACCACCTTGTCCCTCTCTGAAACTTCCTTTTCTGGTCTCCTTTCTTCCTCTCTCCCTTTTCTTCTTCCCCTTCACGTCGCCTTGCTTTTCCATCCCCACTCCCCACTCTCCCTCTCCTTTTCCCTTCTTTTTAAATCTCCTCCAAACCCCCTCTCTTCAACCTCACACTCATTCTTCATCCTCCTCCTCTCTCTGCAGCTTCTGCTTCAACTTTATCATCAATGGAGGTAAGCCACCAAGCAACCAAACTCTCGTGTCCCTCTCTCTCTCTCTCTCTCTCTCTCTCTCTCTCTCTCTGATTCTAATATACACACATATACAGGAGTACTACTATAGGAGGAGTCACGTGCCAGCGTTTGGAAGCTGGGACTGGAACGATAACCTTCCATTTACAGAGTGCTTTGAGTCTGCCACACAAGGTGGCTTTTTCCGCTACACCTTCTCAGATTCTGATCACCAGGATCGTGATCTTTATGTCGCCGGAGACTTGTACCAGAACGACGTCGTCACGCCTGCCATGATCGTCGTTCCTCGCCCAACAAAGGTTAATTTGCTTCTTCAATTTTCATTTCCTTCTTCTACTTCTGTGTCAATCTTCTTCTTCCTTCAACGCAAACATGATTAAGATATTTATTTCTGTATATATAATGTGATTTCTTGGTGTCATTTTCACTTCAAATGCGTCTGATTCACTGCATTTTCTTCATAAATTCATGTTTTAATTCTTATAATTCCTTTTTTAAGAAAGTCTTTACTATCAATTACTAATATTCTATTGGGGAATGATAATGTAAATAATGAAATTTTTTTGTGGGTTTTTAGAGTCGGAATCATGATGAAGGTTCTGTCTTTTAATATTTTTTTTTTTAAAAAGTAATTAAGGACCTAAAAAGATTCAAAAGAGGGAGTAAAAGTAGGAAGAGAACGAGGGTGCATAGTGTAAAGGTACAAACTACAAAGGAGGTGATGATAGTTAAGAGTCCGTGAGAGGCGGAGAAAGCAAGCTTGGCTTTGTTGCTTTTGATGTGGTTGGTCATATATTTAAGTATGTGGGACCTTTATTCATTGACTTCAAGGTATCATGCCCTCTCCCGTGGGTCTTATTATTATCAAATCAGAATTTTATTATAATTGAAATTTTTAAACTGAATATTCATAATTTGTTTAGAGGAATTGGATCTCGAATTTCATCAGGTTAAACCATATCTTCAAATTTAAAAAATATTTACAGAAATAGTTATATACCACTCACCCATAAAATCTTCATACAAGTAATAATATTTGAATCTATAATTTTATGAGTTATAAATTAAATTCTTATCAATTCAACTGGTTTAAACTCAATATTCATCTTTGTATATTTCAGCACCAAAAAATTTTAAAAAATCTTGATTTAGTATTAAATTCCTAAATACTTAGCTAGGTGAAAAAAATCCCTTATCTTTTGCTTAAAATCAAACCATCTCATTTTACAGTCTAAAAACAGTATCCAATTTTATAGATGAAAAAAAAAGGAAATAAATAGTCTAAAGTTGAGAATTTTTTAATTTTTAAAAGTTTACTTTTTTTTAAGAAGAGAAAATATTTTATTTTTTTAATAAAAATATAAAATAATCTCATAAAAATTCATAAATATCAACGTCAAAAAATTTCCTCCTAAAAAAAATTATTTGATCATTTGAACACTCAGGAATACGAATTAGTCAACAATATTAAATAGCATAAAGTTGTGGAAGAAAGGTTTGGTCCTCCCTTGGGTACGTGTTAGGGAGGGAAATAAACACACCAAGGAACTCCACCAATTAAATGTGACTCTGACTCATCATGGTGTCAACATTAAGTTACACATGTTGTACAGTTGGAAATCAAATTGTGGTTAACATAGTGTGGTTTTTGTTACACATTTATTTGGGATCTTATAGCTCAATTACATCTTGGTTGCTTAACATGATTTTTTTTTTTTTCATTTATGAAACTTGAACTTTTAACTTTGTTGGAGTTTTGTGGAGTTGAATGTTTGTGTATGTGGGAAATTACAGACAAAGGTAAAAAAGAGACAAGCTGAGACAGGAGAAGAAAAGCATAAGTGGGAGAGTGAGTTTGAAGGAACAAGAAGCAGCAGCACTAACACTGATCACATTATTGGAGTGCCAAGGCCTGCACCTAAGCCTGTGGATGAAGACTTGTACAGGATCTCTCCTGAATTGCTTTACCAAAAGCATAGGAAGGTCTCTCCCTCTCCCCCTCTTGTTTTCACTTCTTGCTCTCAAAAAACTCACATAAGAGTCTATTCCTTAAAAAAATACGAGGCATTTTTTATTTTTGAGATGTTGGATATTAAAAAATGTAAAATAGTTTAATATTTTAAGATATCATTAATATATTTTTAGAAGAAAAAACATAATTTTGAGTCTTTGCCCTTTGTTGGTGTTTTGCTAGAAATCCTTACACATTTTTTATATGTTCTAATTTCCTAAGCTTTTGTTTTTTGGTATTTTAAATCTCTCTAAGGTCTTTATACTTTGTTCATTTAGAAATATAAAACACCGAAACAAAAAAATGTAAGGATTTAGAATATCAAAAAAATTATAAGGGCTTATAGCAAAATAAGAATAAAATATAGGGATTCAAAATTATGTTTTCTCAAATATCCTTAATGAATAAATAAATTTTATATTTATTTTTAAGTAAAATCTTTACTAATAAGAAGATAGTAGTTAACTAGTTATAAAAGGTTAAACCTGTCTCATATTTTTTTAAGGTATTGCTGTTTACTTTTTTACTTTACTTAGTTCTGCATGGGAAAATTATATTTAAGAATCTGAATCTGTGTTGTTTTGGGATGTAGGATCTTCAAAACTAAACATTTCATTAACTTTGTTACATACTGAATTACAAGAAAGTCAAGATGCTCCTACACACACACACACGTATATAATGCTAGTAATGTTTTTTGAGACTTGAAATTGTAATTTCTTATAAAATTTGAAATTTGAAGTTCAGGGCACATAGATGTAATTTCCTTTAATATGAAAATTCTAACTTACTATTTGGAACAAAATGAAACGAAAAATCAATATAACCAAGTATCAATATTATCAACAACAATATACATTATACATGTAGAAAATTTGGGGTATAAGAAGGAAATTTACAAATGGACTTGGGGAGGACTAACCAGCAAATATCTTTAAATTCGTGGGGCCAAGATTTAATTTGATTTTCCTCTATTTATTGAGTACTTTTTTTTTCTGTGGTACAGAAGAGAGGGTTGGGCATCTTTTCCAGTTGTTTGCTGCCAGCCTGCATTGCCTGAAACTTCACGTGGAAGATCTGAGAAGCCATTAATGAATGTACATAAAGCAGAGACAGAGCACATTAACATAGATGAAGAAAAGATGATGATGATGATCCTGGCCATGATACACAATTTGTTAGAGAGAGATATCTAATTATATATATATATATATATATATATGGATGTATAAGCACGATATTATTAATTCTGAACCACTTCTTGATTGATCTTCTTCTTAAGGGGTTGTTTCAGAATTTGAGTATTTTTAAAATGTAATCCTTAGGGTCAGGAATTGGGACTTTTGTGTGAAAAGCAGTGAAAGAGAGTAAATTAATGCTTCATCTTTGCCATGTTACCTTACTTATTTTGGCTGAACTTTCAAGATTTAATGTAAAGATTGAAACAATCTTGTTCTATTTCATTGAATTTAGCATTTTAACTGTTTTTCTAAATTTACATGTAAGTAGAAAAGAATTTAAAATACTATCTAAAGTTAGTATGAGTGGTAAAGACTTTTGTCACTTAAGCAACTAGTTAGGAGTTTGAATCCTAACAATTTATTTGAAAAAAATCTACCCTTTGTCTTCCGGAGATAATCTCTATTGTTGGCAAAGTTTATTCCTTATATCATCAAAAAAGAGAGAAGAATTTAAAATATTAACTAAAGTTGGCATGAACGATAAAGACTTTTATCACTTAAGTAATTGGCTGAGAGTTTGAATCATAACCCTTATATATGTAGCAATTTAGTTGAAAAGGGTCTATCCATTGCCTTCTGAAGATAATCTATACTGTTGGTGAAGTTTACTCCTTATATCATAAAAAAAACAAAGAGAGAAGAATTTAAAATATCAACTAAAGTTGGTGTAAGTAATAAAGACTCTTGTCACTTAAATAACTAGTTGAGAGTTTGAATCTCAACCCTTATGTATATAGCAATTTAATTGAAAAGGGTCTACCTTTTGCCTTTCAAAGATAAGCTTTACTATTGGTGAAGTTTATTCATTATACTATCAAAAATAAAGAAAAGAATTTAAAATACCAACTAAAGTTGGTGTGAATAGTAAAGACCCTTATCACTTCAACAATTGGTTGGGAGTTTGAATCTCAGCTATTATGTACGTAGCAATTTAGTTAAAAAGGATCTATCATTTGCTTTCTAGAGATAATTTTTACTATTGTTAGAGTTTTACTCCTTATACTATCAAAAAAAGAGAGAAGAATTTAAAATTGAGTTATTAGGATTTTATGCATCCAAATTATGGACTCTTTAAAAAAAAAAAAGAGTCAAACGATGAATTAATCTCATAAAATTTAAATTCATTAGTTAGCAAATATAAAGAAGAGAATAAAGGAGTACAATGTTGCTTAATTTGTTCTAGTGACAAGTTAAAAGAAGAGAACATACATTTGAATGTCCTGTTGAATAACACTTCTTTCTTAGCAACGCTGTGTAAACAAAAAGTTTCTATTATGCATGATAATTAATTAAATATTTTCCTTTTTTTTAATTACTATAACTAAGGACAAAGCTAAATTGGAGGGAGCTTAACAGTATTACACAAATAATAAAACAAAGCATCTAACACTCACTAGGAGTGTTGTCAAGAACCTTTGTTTCAGCTTTTTTAAGTTATGCGTTTAATGAGCTAACCAATTACTACAAGAATTCACCTTTCTAACCACATATACGTTATAGTGATAAGCTTGAGCTTTCATATAGCAACTTCAATGAAGAATTTGCAACTCACTCCCTGATGACCCTAATATATGGCAATGAATATGTTTCTTATGTATTTTTTTAATTATCCCTTACTTTATTATTCTCCATTCGAGTATTCAATTATGAGGGTATTATGAATAAATTAAATATTATATTTATTCCACCTAGGAGTACAATTGAACATTTTCAAAATTTTTTAAAAATCAAAATTTTAACCATTTTTTTTAGAAGCATAAATTAGTGAACAATAAGTGGTGGAGACATGAGGGTTCAAGAGGAGCTTTGAGCCCTTAACTTTTTAATTTTTAAAAAATAAAATGTAGAGCTTATATATTTTCAATCTCTTAAAGTATTATGTTGCTTATCAATTATTAATAGCTCTTGTTGCTGCAAGTAAAGAAGTAAGATGTACATTCATTTTTTTTTCAAAAAATTAAATATGATTGTTACTATATATTGTGTATTCTTCTTATAAGCACAATGATTAATTACAAGGTATTTTTGCATTTCAAATTGCCAAGTTGGTTGAAGGGACTAAATTAGCACATTTCAATAGCCTAGAGACACTAGATAATGTTTTCCTTTCAATTCTATATATAGTCCTTTATATATGTATCATGCAATTGTTTTAGTTTGTGAAGATATAGTTATTACACAATTTACTTATTCTCAATGAAGTGGTGCTATATATGCTCATAAACCTTGATGTCATTTAATTTTTATTTTTATTTTATATTTTGATGAAAGAAATTATTGGAATTACTAAAAAAAATTTGTTAAACATTGCAACAAAAATCTCAAGATATTTTAATGTTATGTGTTTTATATTTATCGCAAAATTACTTACTTAAAAGTTAAAAGACTACAATTGAAAAGGTTTTATAGAAAAGTTACTCATTTTTGTAATAGCCAAGTTATATATCGAAATTCCTTATATAAATATTTTTATTTTGTACTCTTGGCTTCACTAATTAAAATTTCTGGCTCTGCTCCTAAATGATAATGACTTATATTGTGATTGAATGAAATATATATTTTTTTAACAAAATTTTGTCGATGCTCAAATGTTAAAAGTGTTTTTTTTCTTTGTTTTCAATTGGAACTTCATTATCATTCTCCTCAACTTCAAACATTTGTGTAGCCTATCAACTCAGCAGCTATTGTGCCTGGGAAGTGGGAAGTACTAATTTTTGTATGAAGCCGTTTATTAAGCTTTTCTTATTGTCTTGGATCAAACCTCCACAAATTGCTTTATCCCTCTAGTTTAGTGAGCCTTTAGGGTCTATATATATTTCCATTATTTTCTATGTATTAGCACAAAATTTGAGGTAAATTTTTGAAAATAATTAAAAAATAACGAAACTTTTAACCATATCATATGTTTACATTAGTTGTCGATTTGGTTTATTAAGATTAATTTTTTTATTATTTTGATCCTTTAAATTTATCTCAATTATTAATTTGATTCTTATTATTTGAAGAGGAGGTAATGCCATTGAAATCTACTAATATACTTAATGAAATATTGAATTAGCAACTATGTTAGGTAGGAAAAAATGGTTCAATTTTTTTTTTTAAAAAAAACGCAACACAACATATAAGAAAATCTGGGAAAATAAAGAGAACAAGAAAACAAGGAGAAAAAGAAGAACATAAAAAAAAGCTGATTTATTTTTATTTAGTTATATATACATGTTAAGTCATTAACATATTTGATACATTAAATTAATTTGAGAGTCAATTTGTGTTTCAAAACTTAAAGATGGACAATATAAGTTAAAAAATGTAAATAATTGAATTGATAAAAATTAAATTTGACAAAACTAATCAGTAATTAAAACAAATTTGAAGGACTAGAATCTTAATTATCCCTGAAAAGGATTGATGATAATTTATTTTTAAAGCTGATGAGAGAAATGTTTTTTCTAACATGTTTAGCATGAATACAGTTTATGAGCTCATAAATGTTCAATTTTTAATTTTCAATTTTTTTATACAAAAAGTGCAGGTGAGTTGAGTTTTGGGGGTTTACCAAGAATAAGGTATACCTTCAGACTTAAAGAGTGTTTATAGAGATTCTTATAAATTACTCATCAATAAGGTCTTCATATCGACAGTGAGATTTAAACCTATAAAATTCTGGGTTATAGATTAAATTCTTTACCAACACTAATATTTGTTGTAATTTTTCACTTTTCAATTAGAATGACGTAATCTTGAGATTAATTGAGAATAGGATCATAAGGATTATTCAAGCATAAAATATAAAAATTAAGGGAAGCTAAATTGGGGGATGAAGGTGTCAGGTCAAGTAATGTGAAACAGTCCAAATATTTTGCTTAAAATGTGCAAATCAATGTACTACAAAGCCAGAAATCAGCCCGGAAAACAAACTCTTATCGGCAATAATGTCTAATATTCTCATCGGCAAACAAAAAAAAAAAAGGAAAAAAAAAGGAAAAGTCAAAGAAATTACAACGTAGGTTCCTATTTTATATTAATTTCCAGGCAAGTTGTATTATATAAACAGTGTGTGTTTTTAAATTTGTTATATATATATATATATATTAATGATTATATATATTGACGTGCAAAATTGCATATTTAGTTGATGGTACTTGTTTTCAATCAAATTGACCTAGAAAATGTAGCAATGTTAAAACTTGGTGGTGGAGCCTACCACCAAAAGTATCTGTCAATGCTTGATTCAAATTAGTGTAGGTTCCATTAAGATTAAGTCCCCTCAACTAAATTCAAAATACTAAGTGTACAAGCAATTAAAAATTTTGATACGTGTATTTTTTTCTTAAATCTATGATCTATCCTCTAACTAACTAGCATGTGTTATCAACACTATTCAAAAGCAGGCTATTCAAAAGCAGGCTCTTCATGGTCTCTGAATCAGACAAACATATGAAGATTCAGTACTCTGTATTAGCCTTCTTTTTCAGTTTACTTATTGAGCTAGGAAAATAAGGCCATATTCTGTTACAAGTACCTCTCTCAAGAATTTGCTTTGGTATTTCATTGAACATATTCATAACATTTTTAAATGTCATCTTTCTCAATGTTGTGGATTTAATGCAGCCCCATTCCTTTGGTTGGCACCATAATCGTGAGTGGAATCATTAGTTACACGAGTGGTGGAGCCACATTAGCTTGAAGGGGTGCACTTGCTTTAGGAAAAATTATTGGTGAGATGTGCAAATTTTACAATTTTACACCTCATACTCTTGATATTTTATGCTATTTGAATTAAATAAAAAAATTTAAACTCAAAAACTTATTAAATATATAATATTTTAATGATTTAGATAAGATATAAAGAGTATATTTGCCATAAAAGATCATGTCCATCTTTTCAATATAATTTTTTAAAAATAAAAAATTATGATAAATCTATTTCTGTTATTACAATTTTAATCCTAGCATAATTGTCATTTTTTTTAAAAAAATTAATTTTTATTAAATTATTTTGCACCCCTTGATTTCGGGTCTTTGTTCTGCCATTGGTCACACATTCCTTATCCTCTTACTACTCTGATCTTATTTATAAGATATTTCTAACATGTTTTATCATAATTAAGAAAAATCTTAAAAATTATTAACTCTGTTTAAAAATTTAATAATTTCTCAACTTTATCCCTATTAAATATATATATTTTAAGAACGCATTTTCTTTCTCCAACATTCAATGGAAGTCAAATGAAAAAATTCATGATAGAAATTCAATGAGGTGATTTATAAATAAGACAAAAAAATTTTGTTTTCCTCTTTGTCCTATAAATAAGATCAGAGGAAGTATTTGTCAAGAGAACAAACTTATTTGGACTAGTTCAAGTCATGGAGAGTGTATTGTCCAAACAAAGTTTCTAATTTTTATCATCTTCTAGTAGTGTACATCTTCCTCACTCACATAATGCTATTTGGAAATTAATTTTTTTCTCCTCAAATATATTCTCTTCATCTGGAAAACTCATTCATAGAGAAATTCCAGTTGGTAATGTGCTGATTGAACATCATGTCTCTAGGTTTGCTTGCCTGAACATTAGCACCTTCTCATTTTCTTCTGGTGATCTTATAAATTGGTTGCTACATATTTTCTATCGACCATACGTTTGTAACTCAATTGAACTAATTACCCATATTATTATCTTCTTGAACTTATTCTGGCAGGTCAAAAATCAACTTATTCACTTGTAGACTCCCTAATATTTTGTCAGTTTCATTAGATCATTCAATAACCAATGTTTGGTGATGAAAAAAAAAAAAGTTCTGCTCATGGGATGTTAATATTTCCTTTAAGAAGTCCTCAACCTGAGCCCTTCTTTTATTATTTATTAAAGATTGTTATTCAGAATGGATAATCAAGATTTAAAAAAAAAAATTCCAAAACTTATGGATCTGTTCTTTGCCAGATTGAAATTTTCCTTGCTCATCAACCTTTGTCCTTGTTTTCAATACTCAGTTTTTCTCCTTAGTTGTGTAATGTTTATTATGTGAGTTAAAACATTCTCTTAAACTTTTTATGTTTTAATATATATTATTGCTTCTTCTTCTTCTTCTTCTTAGATTTTTGTGTCTTTTAGTAGGAAGATTTGAAAATCCTACCCATCTTTTTCTAGCTTGTTTAGGCCTATGGTTGTCGTCGTTATCATCTGAAGGAGGACGTTTGTGTCGGCAAGAATATTTATGTTGCTTGGCCTTTCTGGTGGTCCTTTGTTTACCAATTTTTATGTGTTTTGTGAACAGGTAACACTTTATGAAAGATTTGATCCCTCTAAGATCTGGATGTTTTGTTTCGTACTATTTCTTCATTATTGATGGGTAGATTCTTGTATTTATTCCAACCAAAAAAAAAAAACTATCGATCACAATTTTATTGAGAATCATGATTATTAAAATGAAAGGGTCGAAATTGCACAATTTTTATTGAAATATAATTATCTCGTGTCCATCTTATACAAGACATATATGTGTATGTATATTCCTCCAATATATTTTCATTTCACAAATAAATAAATCAATAAATTTAGTTCAATTGAGTTTATTTAGGTTTTTTTACCAAATAGACCGAATTTGATTTGGTACACCAGCAATGCCAAACAAGCGGTGATTAAGGACATGAAGATGGCTGAAAAACTATGGGGAGTGGAGAGATATGGCAATTATATGCAATAATTTAGATCAAGTCTAATGGGGCAATCTGAAGAAGCTCAAAAAATCTTAAGGTTAGGCTTTAGAGTTTATTTTGGGTTTATTTGAGAAGGCCTGAATACCTGAATTTTTTATTATTTTTAAAAAATAACAATAAAATAAAAATATTAATTTTTTTAAAACAGAAAATATAATAAAATAGTATTTAACAGTTCAAGTATTCGAATCAATTTGAATAAGCCTAAAAACCTAAAGAATTAGAGTTGGGCTTGATTATATGAGTTTTTTATATAGTAAGATATTTTAAGTCTAGCCCGCATGAATTACAGGCCCCAATGCTAATATTATTATTTAATTATTCTGAATTAATTTTAATATTACTGATATTTATGTTTTTATATTTAGTAATGCTAACCACTATATCTAAATATAATTTTTATTTTTTAAAATTATTGAATTTGATGGGATAACTAAATATTATTTTATATTCATAAATCAAAACCTTTTTAAACATCAACCAATCTGATGGCCCAAAAAAAAAAAAAAAAAGTAAACACGTCTCCCAGAAAAGACGAAAAAGTCATGATTGTGTTACACACGAATTTTTACATCGTTCTTTGAGTCCTAAAATCATGGGATTTAACTCAAAAAAAAAAAAAAAGTCCCACGAAGAATTCATGGCTTTGACACAATACAAAATGAGTTGATCTCTAGCTTACTCATAGTCGGAAGAAGCTTGTTGAATCTTCAGGATACATGAAATATCAATATATTTGCTAAGAACTGTTTAAATTTCAGTCCTTTAAAAAGTATTTGTAGATTCCTTATTTGTTAATAGACATAAAGCCAGTAAGGATATCTTTAATTAGTAGGTCACTTCCAAGGAGTTTTATCAAAGACAGTACATCCAACTCACTTGAAATTTCTGTTGAAAAGCAAACCCTTGGAATTTAAGATAGCATTGTAAGATGAACTCATTATTCAATCGGCATTTCCCAGCAACTAGAAATATATTTTCTATTTAATTTCTTTTGGGACCCCACAGATATTTGAATTTGAGTCACATGATAAAGGAGAAATTAATTTTTGTCCACACTGCAAGTTGAGTCAATAAGAGTGAGAATTCTTGAGTATCCTTAAATGCCTTATCCTTGGTTGGAATACCAAGATTTTTAAAGTTAATATTTGAGCTAATTCACTTCTTATACTCATCAATAACAAGTTTTTCCCTGAATCAACCTCTCTATAGCACAATCAAAAAAATTAGAGACCTTTATTAGGTAGAATTGGATAGTTACCTTCTAAATTTAAACTATATTTTTAAAGATGCTAATAACATTTATTGGCTAACTTACGTGTGTGATGTCATTATTTTTAACATTCCCCTTTAAGGTACAAAAGCAGGTTAATTTTTGATGATTTAATTATGTTGCGTTGGTGATGGTTCTTTGTGGCCATCAATTCAGAAAAAAAGTGAACCAATGAAAACGATTTTTCAGAAATACCTTAAAAGACTTATTACTTTCTTTTTCTATTATAAGGTATTTTTAAGTTTTAACTACCTCACTTAAATTAAAAAATAATAATTGACTTTACAATTACAACAACAACAAATCTTATCTCATTAGTTAATTCATTTAATAAATTTTAAAATAAATTTTTGAAACTTTACCCCTATTAAAAATAGGAAGAGAGATTCACAACATATGATAAATTATCATAAAATTAAAGTTACAAAAATAAGTGAAATTGAAAAATACTAAAAAATAAATAACATTCCATATACATTATTATATTAAGAATTAAAGAATCTTTTTAGAAAATGCACTATAAGAACAGGATGGAGTATATTTTAAAATGGAGAGAATTTGTGATATGTCAAAATATTTTTTTTCCTTTTCATTCTTAAACCCTCAATTAAATGTCCTGAAAAATAGTACATTTTTAAATATTAAGAGATGAAATAAGTGATTCTAATTTTTATAAAGAGTACTTTTGAAAATATGCATGAATTACATTTAAAAAATATTCAATATACTCTCTTTGTTAAAAAATGTAAAGTATTTTTTAAAAATATTTTTAATCTTTCAAGATATAATCATTGTCTTTTTTTAAAAATACCTCTATTGATGATGACTTTATATTTATTATAAGATAGTTAATAGAAATAAATATCGAAAGATAAGGTTAGTTTAAAAATAGATAAAAACTTTATTAGAGGATGAAATTTGATTAAAATACTTTAAATTTTTAAATAGAGAGAGTATATGTTAAACCATATTCCTTGCATGTTGCCATTTTCCACAGACATTTGCATATCCTGAACTTGATTTGGGTAAAAGATCTAATTCGTCACACGAATCCTCACCTGGACCCGCATTTTTGCTGCAAATCATGTAATCCCTAAGCTCTTCAACTTATTATTTTTAAAGTTTATTATGCTTGTGACTTTGAACTCAGATACTAGCCCCACCTGTCTACTTCCTCTTTTGTTTAATTAAAAAAAAATTACATTCAAGTCTCATAAAAAAAATTTTATTATTAAAAAACTTCATAAATTTTATTAAATAATCTTTTAAGTTTTAAATTCTGTATATTAATAACTGAACAATAATTATTTATAATTTGTAAAGAAAAATAAAATAATCATTATTTAATTATTAATACTCTTAATTAAATTGTTAAATTACAAGATTTGAAATTTAAAAATATTTATAAAATTCATAAAATTTTTTGATAATAAATTTACTTCTATAAAATCTGAATATAATTTTCTCATAAAAAAAATGTAACAACACGCGACACTAGGGATAAGCTCAAATAATAGGTGCACTATAACTTGTCTTCTCATCCCAATGCATCTGACATCTGAATATTTTTAACTTTAATTATACGGCTATGAAACAACTCCAACACAATCGAAAATCACGAACGAGGATTCATTCATTTATAATTAATTCAATTCAATGGCTGAAACTAACATCACGAGGATTCCATTCCCTTACCCTTCAGCACGTCCTACCATGCCCCTCCCAACGGGGACCACCTTCCCATGTTTCTCAAAAGCCCAAAATCATGTACTCTCTGGGCATCACCACGTGTCGAGCTATAATAGGACATTTCCAGACACTAGTCAATGCCTTGTGGACCCAACCCCAGTGGGCTCTACTTCCTCGTCCATGTTCATACGAATATAATCACATTCTCATTATCATTACAATAATAATTAATAAAAAGTGCACTCACACACATCTGTATTAGTATATTTTATTTTGAAACCAAGCATGCTTCCATGTTCTAATTCTCACACATGCCAACATAAAATGACAACAATAACCTCACAAATTGCCAACGTGTTAGTCTATCAGACATAAAACAGAGACAAGACACAGATGATAATATATATTAATAAGAAGTTTCAAACCATTAGTACGAGAAAATTTAGTCTTCTTCATTAACTGCCAAGTGTCAGTTAAAGAGTATTCCAAAATGTCCACAATAATAATTCATGACGTTCGTTGGTCCAAAGACTATTCAAAATATTAATACTACCACCAAGGAACCTAGAGAGAGGGGTCTAACGGCTAACCCTAACGGCTAGAAACGGACTCAAATCAGAAGCAGTTAAAATCAGTGCCCCAACAGCCATTCTCATCTCAGGCTTCAGCCTCAGCGTTGGAGCACTTCTTTTCTGGCGAGCATATGGCCCACACAAAGCCGTACGGGTCCTTCACCTTTCCCACGCGCTCACCGCAACCCGCGCCCTCACCCACCACGACCTCGCCTTCCGCAACAGCTCCGGCGTTCACCGCCTTGTTAATCGCAGCTTCCACGTCGTCCGTCTCCAGGCAAAAAACGACGCCATTTCCAACACTCTTCGTCCTGGCATTATTAATTTAATTAATTTAGACAATTCTAAAAAATGGAAAAACAAGACAATCAGATTTGTTTAGCAGTAAATAGCACGTTTCAAAAAGTGAATAAAACCTTCGTGAATGACAACAAAATCACTAGAAAACATAGAACCGCCTACAAGTCAAGTCAATGGACCATAAAAGTCATATGCAGTAGTTACGGAGAATCGGGTACTAAGATATTTGATAATAAAACGACAATGTTGAAGCGAGAGATCGAGCAAATCGAAACAGGAACAACACAAATTCTGCGATTAATTTATTATTTGGTGAACACAAGGAAATCACGACCACTACACAGAACAAAACTACATAATATGGTTAAGATTCAGCCAAAAATGTTTGAATACGACAAGAACAAAATCCAAAGTGAATCGAAACGCAATAGATACGAAATATGAAACCATGCTCCATACAGCCCAGAAAAGAAAGGAAATAAGAAAAGGAAAAGACGAAAAGAATTATCAGTTACGCATCATAATAATAATAATAATAATATATTTATTATTATTAATTACTTTCTCCAGGACACTAGCTTTTAGTGTACGAAAATTTAGACAAAAACAGAAACGGAGTGAAAAGCCTATTGCAACTATATCGTTGGTTCGGTGAGCGATTCTACCGCTAGGTTGCATAGATGCGGGTATGAGACGATACGATATGATATAAAGATACAGTAAATTTTTAAAATTATAATATATATTTTAACACCTTATAATACAAGTATAGGTATTTTAATTTTTAAATAAAAATTTTTAAAATAACATCAAAATATTTACAATAATTAATTAAAATATTATGTATTTTTTTAAGTTTTTTAAGGATATAGTAAAAAATTATATCATAAATATTAAAATATAAAATAAATATATAGAAATATCTTACAAATATTATATGAAATATGTATCAAATACAGGTACGTTTATTTTTTTTAAAATATCCGTGCTACATAGTTCTACAAAAACAAAACTACTCAAGATGCTTTTAATCATCTACACAGCAGAAACGATCTCAGAACAGAGCAGCACGTGAAACGAGAATCAGAGATGCGAGAAAAGAAACAGACAAGAAAATGACGAAGAAAAATCAGAGAGAGAGAGAGAGAGAGAGACTTACGGAGTAGCAGAGTCGTCGGCGGTGAGGTCAGAGACGAGGATGGTGAAGCCGGCGAGCTTGAGCTCCGCAGAGAGTATGAGAGGGAGCTCTTGCTCAGCCTTGCGTTTCGGATGCGTTGTACGGCCAACCTCCTCGGCGCCGAATGCAGCCTTGTAGAACTGGACGGCATCGTTTGCCTTCGGCGCCTCCACCAGGAGCTGCGGCTTCACGGCGGTGAACGACACCGCATCTACCGCTGCCTTCTCAGCTCCACCATTCTGAACCTCCTGTTGCGCCATTGATGAATCAGAGAGTAAAACAGAACACACGAAGAAGCTTATTCGCAAAACCCTAACCCTAGGAGAGAGAAAGCGATGGAGAAAGACAAAGAAAAAGAAATGGAAATGGCGTGAAGTGGAATTGAGAGGGTGGGACAGTGTATATATAGAAGAGGCAAGCGGAATCGCCTTTGGGCTTGCTGGGGACAAAACCGGGAACGTGAAAATTAACGGACCGTGGTCACGAATCGTCAAATACTATGCGCGTTGGGATAAACGTAATTGCCCTCCAGTTTTTATTAATTTACGACATATTGCCATTTCGAAAAGCCGTCTCCTGCGGTCTGACATTGGTGATCGTTCGAATACGGTGCATTGATAAATAAATAATTAATAATTGATAATTTATTATTATCATTATTAATTTTTCTTAATATATATATATATATATCATGTCTACACGGCCACCTCAGTGTGTTTGGATTTTTAGCAAATTATCCAAATAATTAAAAAAGGACAAAAATTGATTTTGAGGCAATACGTGTGTTTTCGCGTAAGGTTCCTCCATCAGCTTTTGCCAAATGTTTATTAAAAAACGTTAGAAAAAATTATAAAAAAAATCCATAAAAAATTATAAATAAAATACATAATTTAATAAAAAAAAATTAAACTCTTTTTTTTTTAATAAATTTAAATTTTGTATTTCTAAAAATTAATGTTTAATATTTAAAATTAAATTATATAATAATTTATATAATTAAAATTGATCTGATTAAATTATCCAAATATTTTTAATTTTATTAAAATTAATTTTAAAAAAATAGTATTTAAACAGATTATGTTATAATATAATTAATTATGATTAAAATTTATTATTTAATTAATTATTTTTATAATAAAATTATATCCAACTAAAATTCAAACGGAGATTCAGTCGATTGCAGAGAGAAGAGACAGGGATTATTGTACGAGAACGGTACGTTTCGGGTTAACTGGAATTTCCTTCTTTCTTTGTTTTTTTTGTTTTTGTTTTGTTTTTTGCCACTGCAAGAATAAGATAATTTTCAGTGAAGTTAGAATTATTTGATTAAACAAAAATGGCAATTATTCAGAAAACTATAAGAACTACAGATTTTTTTATTAAAATTATAAAATATAAGATGAAAAAATATAAAATTAGAAATAACATGGTCAAATATAAAAGATTTTTAATAACTTTTTTTTATAAAAATTAATACATAAATAATTCAAAACCCTCGCTTTTGCATTATCCCTCTGCTTTGTCACAACTCACGTAAGACTGGCAAGGGTATAAGATTCTATTATTTCTCCATGGCTTTTGGTCTATTTTTGTTTTCATTATTTTATTCAATTATTATTAAAGTTGGAAAAATTCATTTTCAACTATATTTTTAATGTGTTTTCAAGACATGGTTTTATCTAAAAAAATTTAACCAAACATATTTTAACTTTTTAAAAGTACAAATTCAATTTTCAAATATAAAACTTACAATAATCAAATGGACCTTATGTACAGTTTTTTAACTAAATTTTGTCATATAGACATTTCCCACGCCTCATCACTTAAGCCATGAACCAATAAGTTGACTAAAACTTTGAACTTATTAAGTTTTTTTTTTCCCATTAGTTTGGTTTGGTTTAATTTAAATTTAGATCAAATTTAATTTTTTTTATAGAACATTTTTCACAATCAATATGTATATGTATATTCATCGATAATTTTTAACTATTAAGTTCTATTTCAAAAAAAAATTATTGAGAACTAAAGAATATTCTTAACAATTAATTAAAAAATTAACTATTAAAAATAAATATGTTATCTTTATAACACTTGATTATAAAATTAAAAATTATTCTAAATAATTGTAAATAACATTTAACTAATTATAACATATTTTTACTTGTGATTTGAGATAACTAAACATAGATAAATTAACAAAAATATAAAAAAAATATAATGAGACTTGATTCATTTTTTATTTAAGTTTCAAAAGATAAAAATTAGAATTGAACAAAACTGATCGATTTTGTCAAAGAAAAAACAAAAAAACCTTATTTATAAGGGTTAAAGTATATTTTTACTCACCAACTATTTGCTTAGGAGTGCTTGATATTACAAAATTACATGTAATGTAATTTTTTCCTCAATATTAAAAATAGTGCACTAGATTATAGTTAAAAAGTTTAAATTTAACCATTTGCTGGCCCAAAAAAGACCTTAAAATTATAAAAAAGAATACATAAAATTACAAATAAATGCCTTATAAGAAATTAGTATCAATGAACTCATTAAAATAGTAAGATAATTTATAAGTCTTCCTTCAAAATTTATAGTTAGTGTAATCAACGCGTTCATTTATAAATAATAGTGTGTAATAGATACACTTGTTAAGTTGTAAGTCTATAAAGAATATGTAAATTCGTAAAAGGTAAATTATAAATTATGTGAAAATATTTGTACATAAATAATAGTTAAATTATTATATATTAAATTGTTAATATTTTAATATGATATTATTAAAGAAAATATAATTTTTTTAATTACTTATTAGCATTGTTGCCAACAATTGTGATATGTTAGCTACTTAGCAGTTGGTTAAATTGGTTGGTCAAGATTGCTATGGTCTTTTACATGGTTAAGAAATAAATTTTGTACCCTAGTATTTATATGTAATTTAAATGATTTAATTGATATTAATTTTCTCATAAGATGCTCATGTGTAATTTTTGGGTTATTTTTTGTAAGTTTTGAAGTCATTGTTTCTAATTTTTAAGTTAATTAGCGATCAAAGTTAATTTTTTTAACAGCAAGATTTTCAATACATTATTTTCAAATGTTGAATGAAAAAATTGCACCATATATAGGTTATGATACCAGATTTCAAAAGTGAATTATTAGAAGATAAAAATGTCCTTTAACCTTATTTATAATGAGAGATAGGCATTGTATTATTGCCCTTATTTTTCCAACACATGACCAAAACTTTTGGTAATATGGGATTAACCCACAATAGTTACCAAACCATAGTTGAAAAGCTTTAATTGCAATTGTAAGAAAACCAATCATGGTAGAAAGAAAAAGGCTAAATCAAATGTTTACTATGGTTAAAATATTTGAAATCAACAATGTATAACTTTAGTACACACTAATCAAGTAATTTCAACTCATTGAAAACTCAAGTAATCAAATTTAACTTAAATCATAAAAGCAACAAAGATGGGATCCTAAATTTTAATAAATTAAGCACTTTAAATCAAGAAAAAACAATTCTAAATTAGAGTTATAAAACATACAGAAGTATGTGATACCAAATATACTTGAAAACATTTGCAAACAAGGTCAAAAATGTCAAAGATCCACAAAGCAAGTCATTGGCCACCGCCACAGAGTGATGCATCACAACCAATTCTCTCTATGCCTTGCATGTTGCACATAAAATTGTAGCACATTGCTATTAAATGACAAATTCGAGCTAAATTTTCAATGCGTCCTAAATCACCATCCAATGTCTGATTGAGGTAGTTTAGATGTCCACAAAAAATTCATCCAATACAGAATAAACTAGCTAATAGCACTAGTTTTATTTTTAACTTATTTCATATCAAAGAATTGAACACCCAAACACAAATTAATCACATTTTCACACTTAATCACAACTCAGAGTGTTCAAAACCCTACCCAAGTACCAAAAGATCAACCAAGCACCTAGATCATACTTAATAGACTTAAGACAACCTGTGTAACACATTACAGCAATCAAATACCTCATATAATTCAATTCCAACCCTCAACTTCATGATTTCCAAAAATAATAGGGGAAGTTTCCAATATGAAATCTCACTATATTCACCTACAATAAACTAAATTCTCAAATCATACTTGTACCAATATTTTAACCTTACACGGATAACTCAACACATAACGTATAACCTAAGGCTCAAAATACGACTTTCAACTAATCATGCAAATGGTACAAGTACATTTAAAATATGATCCTAGTTAGCAATATTAAATTAGATCACACATTCTAAGATCAAAATATAAGAGGCATTACAATAGGAATAAAATTCAAAAGCCTCAGTTGCTTTTCCTTTATCTTGCCTTAAAACTAGTGCATTTAAAATGTTAAATAGAAGGGTAAGTATAATCACTCAGTAGTTAACGTAGTCTAATCTATGCTTATGCAAGTCAATTAACTGTAGTTATGCAAGGTGGTCATTTATGCAAACATATTCACATTTCAAAATCACAAATCCATATCCATACACATGCTCACTTTTCCATAATGCATAAAATAATCTCATCATAAACTTAACAATCACGTGACAATTTATCAATAAAATGCATGATCAACAACCTTCATTATAACCCCTAGTACCTCCTACAAAAACCATGGGCTATTAAATAAAACAGGGTTACGTCCGTGTGAGTAGACTAATCTAAGCTCACCAATTATGATGTGCTACCCAGCCAAAGTTTGTTACACTTACTCTTAGACCATAGTTTTTCCCATTCACAAATCTTTAAGTTAACTCTAAATTAGTCTCCTCAAGAGCCAAGTGGAGAACAAGTTAGGTTATGGTCTGTCAACAAACAGTAGGACAAGTGGCTAGTCATCGATTTTTAAATGGTCCCCATATCACATGGATTTATTTCTCTACTCCTCCCGCCAATCATGATCATGCAATAAATACATGCTTAACACACATAGCATGTCATTTTCAAATTTCTTCATGCTCATCATATAATATCCAAGAGACTAAACCGTAAGGTCTCTCTTACTCAACTACATTTGACTCCAAATCATAGCAACCTAAGGTTTAATCTTCAAAGATTACCAAATTGTAAAGTTTTATGAAGGAAATTTTTCAAATTCTTTTAAAGGAATCCCAATTTCAACAATTCAAATCTCAAACATTATTTAATAAGTCCATATTAGAGTTTTAGAAGTAAAGCAGAAGCTTGAAAATTAATTGGGACCCAAAATAATAAGTTTTAAAGCTCAAAAATAGATTCTATGCAGAAAATGTCATTTATGCTATGGCTTGTCTTCTCTATGCCATGCACTGCGACGTAATGTGCCATGTGCCACGGGCGCATTGCATAAAATTTGACAGCATCAGTGCT